TATATAATGAAATAAATAAATTATATATGCGTGTTCAGTTGCCAAAATAAAAGCTTAATGGTTTGCTGTTTGAAAATGAAGAAATTAAGATGTAAAAATTTATATTGTAATTTTGCAGTTGTACTATAAAATAAGATTATTTTATTATAATAATCTTGTATCAGTGAGATACTATTATAGTTTTTATTAATAGTTTGAATTAATTTTTATATATTATTTTTGCTTTAATTTCTGTTATTGTTTTAGTATTTTTTGTGTGTTTTTGTCATTTTTATTATATTTTTAATATGTCTAAATAGTTTGTATTATTTTTTATTTCAACATTAGTTTTATCTATGTTAGTATATCAAGTTAAAACTAAATAAAAATGAGAAATGTTTACTTGGCAACTAGCTGAATTACCAAATTTTGCTTTAAGTTTTACAGCATCATATAATAATTGCTGTTAATAGTGTTCATCGTCTGTTTGATTACGTCTTTAATTGATTTTTCCGTACATTTCTGCCATATGTACATTAACAGTCAGTCAGTCACCACTGATAAACTACCACTAAATATTGTAGAAACTTAATTTTCTGTGAAGTTACTTTGCAACGATTTGTATCGTGAAAAGCGCTGTACAAATAAACTTGAATTGAATTGAATTAACCCTCTAAGTGCCAAAGTCACAAAATTGCGACCAGACGTCATACTTAATCAAATAGACTGTAGATCCTAATATGGTGTAATATCGCATTTGTATTCCCTACCACTAGATGGCAGACATGTAGTACTTCGATTCTAGACCAAAGTTACTATTCAAAGTGTTTGAGGAAAGAGCAGAGCAAGTGAGCTATCGTGTCATTGATGCGGAAGCAGTTCAGTTCAGAGCGTGTGAGTAAATTGTGAGATTTGTGAGAGAAAATCGCCAAATGGCTAATAAAAAGTTGTACCGTGAGGATGTGTTGCAAATGTTATTCGCCGATTCTGACTCTGAAGGGGAATATTTGCCTTTTGGAAATGACGATCGCTCGTCTAATGATCGTGCTTCTCCGAGTACATCTTTGCAGCGTAATGGTGCCGCCGTGCAAGGCGCGAGTGTTCACGAAGCACAAACAGGTGATCATTTCGACCCTTTGCCCGACGGAGGCAGTTCAAACATCAATTCAATATCTACTATTTCCTGAATATTATGACATTCAAGAGGGCCGCCCCCTGATGACGTAATAATATGCAAATTAGATGAGTATATTTACACCCCACATAAACTTTCGGTCATGCCCAACATTTTTCTAATTTACAGTAGATCTCTATCTTTAAGCCCTTTCAAGCCACAAGCTTTTGAAATCTTGATGTCAAAATCCAGCATTAAAAAAAAAAAAAAACTGGCGCCTAAAGGGTTAAAATAATATTTTTTACACTATTTCTTTTTTTTTTTCAACATTTTTATTTAATAATAGGCATTATTATTATTATTTGCACTAAAAAAAACGTCTTAAGAATATAAAGTTTTTATTTTTTATTTATTTTTTTTTGCATAAAATAATCCTACTCACTCGAATTATTTCATAATAAAATTATTCAAGTCATCTGGTGAAAATCCCTGCATTTTTTTATAACTTAATATAGAAGAAAAACTAAATATTGTTGTGCAGCTCTAACATGAGCCGCTATTAAATTTCATTTCATGGTATTCTATTATTCTTAATTCCGATTGGCTGATTTCCGGAACTGTTTTTATTGGTTAATTTCCGGAACTACTGTCGGTAAACATGTGACCATGTGAGCACAGCAGTGTCATGTGACCTCACCTCTGACCCTGAAGAGGACAGGTGCACAGCGAGCAGTCTCTGACGGAGTCCTGAACCTTCCCATAATCCCCTGGGTATTTCTGCGGGGTTTACTGTGGTGTTTCTGTGGTGTTTGTACCTTGTTACCGTGGTATTTCTGCGGGGTTTACTGTGGTGTTTCTGTGGTGTTTGTACCTTGTTACCGTGGTATTTCTGCGGGGTTTACTGTGGTGTTTCTGTGGTGTTTGTACCTTGTTACCGTGGTATTTCTGCGGGGTTTACTGTGGTGTTTCTGTGGTGTTTGTACCTTGTTACCGTGGTATTTCTGCGGGGTTTACTGTGGTGTTTCTGTGGTGTTTGTACCTTGTTACCGTGGTATTTCTGCGGGGTTTACTGTGGTGTTTCTGTGGTGTTTGTGCCTTGTTACCGTGGTATTTCTGCAGGGTTTACTGTGGTATTTCTGTGGTGTTTGTACCTTGTTACCGTGGTATTTCTGCGGGGTTTACTGTGGTGTTTCTGTGGTGTTTGTGCCTTGTTACCGTGGTATTTCTGCAGGGTTTACTGTGGTATTTCTGTGGTGTTTGTACCTTGTTACCGTGGTATTTCTGTGGGGTTTGTACCTTGTTACCGTGGTATTTCTGCGGGAGTCTCCAGTAATACGGGCCGGTGAGGACAGACAGACTGTGGAGGTGAGACGCGTCCAGCAGCATCTCTTGATCGCTGTAAGAAACGCCCTCCAGCGTCCCCTGCAGGTCACTCTGAGACACGACACGCAGCAGAGCCGGAGCAGAGCCCAGCGTGATCTGAATCACAGACATGATTCACATGATAAACACTCACGATTCACATCAGCATCAGGATTTTCCTGCACTGCATCTTCATAAATAATGTTTTATCTGAGTTTAGTTTGTGTCTTAATTAAAACTTTAGATGTGTCATCGATTCACAATCTAATGAGTCAAAAGAATCACTTACTGAATTAACATCTGACTCACTGACTGGATGCTAATATGACGAACATGCACTAAAGAGCTGTTGTATGCACATTTTTTATATTTTACACCTCTTAATCATGGTAAAATAACTGTAAAGCATGGAATCTCATGACTTCTGTTTATAGACACTACCCTTTCGAAAGTTTGGGGTTGGTAAGACTTTTATTGATGTATTTTAAAAGCAAGTTTTATTCAGCAAGGATGCATTAATTAGATCAAAAGTGAAAGACATTTATAATTTTCTAATTTAGAATAACTATACTACAACAATTAATAAATATAATAATAATTAAAAAATATTATACAACATATATGAGTACTACAAACAACTGTTTTCAACATTGATAATAATCAGAAATGTTTCTCGAGCAGCAAATCAGCATATTAGAATGATTTCTGAAGATCATGTGACACTGAAGACTGGAGTAATGATGCTGAAAATACAGCTTTAATCACAGAAATAAATTACAGCTTAACAGATATTCCCATAGAAAACAGCTGTTTTAGATTATAATATTTTTTCACATTTTTACTGTATTTTGGATCAAATAAATGCAGGCTTGCTGAGCAGAAGAGACTCTTTTGAACACATCTTACCAGGACCAAACTTTTGAACTGTAGTGTATATTAATTTATAGTGTAGCTGGCAAACGGTTTCCTGTAGTGTAAGCTGATGTGTTGTGTGCGTGATCACGGCGCACCGGCACTCGGATCAAACCGCCGAGCTCCTCACAGTAGCTGGACACACCGAAACAGAAGCACGGACTGCAGCCGGACGGATTCTGCGCCGTCAGACCGAGCGTCCCGCTCTTACACTCGTCACAGCCGCCACCGCCAACATTCTCCTGAAACACATCCACCACGTTAACCATCATGCACTAGAACACGCTACAGCACACGGAGGCGTCGCCGGCGTCACCTTGCAGGAGCAGCGGCCGTGATCCTCGCATCCACACACTCCCAGCGCCGGGTCGCAGAACTCCTCTCGCGTGCCGCTGGGGTTGCAGTTGCAGGCGGTGCATTCTGGGAAGTTTTTGTAGCCCAAAGCACAGCGGTCGCACTTGAGACCGGAGAAGTGTGGCCTGCAGCGACACTGACCCGACTGCAGCTCACACTGAGACGAACTCGAGCCCTCGGCACTGCAGTTACACACCTGCACAGCACACACGCGCACACACACACACACACACACGTTTTACATTTATTACACGTTTTACACACAAATATTTACATATGTATCACTATGCTACTTGCATGATAGTCCATACAATTCCATCTATTATTATTTATTCATATTACCATTTATTAATATTTGTTCATACTCATATTTACATATTTATCACTATGGTAGTTATACAGTAGTCTAATTAATTATTTTTATTTTACTATAATTATCTTTAATTTAATATCAATAACAACTATTATTATTTATTCAAATTACATATTCATCACTATGGTATTTACACTGTACACCCAGGAATACCGTGGTATGATGAAGGCATGTGTCGTACCGTACAGCCGGAGACGCCGTCGTGACCCCAGTGACCTTCCTCACACTCCTCACACTTCAGGCCGAGTGTGTGCGGAGGACAGATGCACTCGCCCGTGTCTGCGTTACAGTTCCCGTGTGTGTGTGCGCAGTCACACGCTAGAGGAGACACAACAGGAGCCGACTGTTACTAACCAGCCATGTTCATATCTCTGCGCTCTTTGTGCTTCAGTGCACTGCTCTTACGTGTGCATCCGCTCTCGGTGAAGCTGTAGTATCCGCGCTCACAGCGATCACATTTCTCACCCGTCACCCCGGTGATGCACTGGCACCGCCCCTCCTCGTCACATGACGCAGACAGAGCGCCTGATTGGTTACATTCACACAGTCTGCAGCCATCGCCGCTGCTGATGCCGTAATAACCTGCCTGAGACACAACATACAAAAACAACGGCTATTAATCAGACTATTAGTAAAAGAGAATTATTAATGAAGATTATATAAACTACACATTTTTTAAAAATAGTAAATAAAAGAATTATCAATGAATATTTTAAAAACAATTAATAATAATATTGATGATATTAATAAAGAGTAACTAAAAGAGAATTATTACTGAAGATTACATAAACTACTAATATTTTAAAAACAGTAAATAAAAGAAAATTATCAATTAATATTTTAAAAACAATTAATAATAATAATAATATTTATGATATTAATAAACTAACTAAAAGAGAATTAATGAAGATTACAAACTACTAATATTTTAAAAACAGTAAATAAAAAAAATAAATGAATATTTTATTTAAAATATTAACAATAATAATAATTTATGATATTAATAAACTAAAAGATAATTAATTATGAAGAATATTAATATAAGTAAAAATATTCATATAAAAAGTAAATAAAAGAAAATGATCAATGAATATTATACAAACTATTAATAATTATAACAATATTAATAAACAGTGAAGGATGAATTATTAATTTAATAAATGATAGGTAAGAGAATTATAACACATATTATATGAACTATTGCTAATAATATATAATAATAATATTAAAAATAATGTAAATAAAAGAGAATTATTAACGAATATTATACAAACTATTAATCATAATACATAATGATATAATAAAACTATTAATGGCGATGAATGGCATTATGAAACATGGTATTTTTTCTTTTATAAGTAAATGAAAAAAGCAAAGTAGATGCAATGAAATATGGCATAAAGCATATATACAGCTATTCACAGCATCTGAATGATCAAGTTAGTAATCACCACAGCAGAGGACGTACCTGACAGCGGCCACAGGTTTGTCCGATCACGTGAGCCTTACACTCACACTGACCCGTGATCACGTGACACACGGTGGACAGAGAGCCGTCACCATGGCAACCACAGGCTGGACACACACGGAAGCACATGATTACAGACACGCTACAGTACCGCGTTCGTCCAGCAGATGTCACTAGAGCTTCGTACCAGAATGTGCTCTTCTCATTATCTGAAAGTTACTATTATGTACAGATAATATTATTGTCATTTAAATATGACTGAGTGATATTCTCTCACCCTGGCAGTTTTTGAGGGTCACGGCGTCTCCGTAGAAGCCGTCGGCGCAGCGCTCGCAGTGTCTCCCCGCCGTGTGACCCAAACACTTCAGACACTCTCCGCTGCGTCCGTCGCAGTGACCCGCTTCAGCCGGATCCACGTTACCGTTACACTCACACGCCAAACACCGCCGGCCCGGCTCCGCGGGGTCGCCATAGTAACCGTCAGCACACCTGAGGATGAGGGCGGGGCCTTTGGGGTCCTTTGATCGTTTCTAAATATATAACATCCTCTGAAAATAATTAAACGTAGTCCTGTACCTCTCACACTTGGCTCCTGCGTATCCCAGCTGGCACTGATCACACCTGAACTCACCGGCACGCTGCAGCACGCATGTGGGGCTAAAACTGCAGCACACACACACCAGTCAGATATTTCACAGAAACTAGAGATTTATATCTATATGTTTATACATATCCACACACACATTAATATATTCATACAGATATTTTCTCTTTGCATGTACATATAATTTATATTTTAATAATATATTTAGATTATATTATAATAATATATAATTTATAATATATGTTAAATGTAATATGATAATTAAATACAAAATCATACAAATACATTTTCACTCACACACACACACTCAGACACACACACACACACACACACACACACACACACACACACAGGGTTTAACAGCCTCGTTTCACTGGAGGAACTGCTCCAAACTAAGATCTTATTCTCTGTAAGATAAAACCTACCAGACACTCTCCGTTGATGTCGCACTCCGCTGCGTGATCGTTACACTCGCACTGAAGACAGTTTCCTCCGAACAGAATCCCACCGACCCGATAAAACCCGGGAACACAGTACTGAAGAGAGGAGCACACACGGCTGGGTTAATAACCTGCAACAGCTGCATGTTTGGTTCAATTATCTGCACATAATCATGTGACCTGGAAGTGGTTTCTCACCTCACAGGAAGTGCCAGAATAACCCCAGGGACACTCGCACTGCTCCACATCCAGAGGGACTTTAGAGAGACCCGAGTTTGTGTCTCCAACACCTAAAGACACCACGAGAACACACACACACACACACACACACACACACACACACACAGGGTTTAACAGCCTCGTTTCACTGGAGGAACTGCTCCAAACTAAGATCTTATTCTCTGTAAGATAAAACCTACCAGACACTCTCCGTTGATGTCGCACTCCGCGGCGTGATCGTTACACTCGCACTGAAGACAGTTTCCTCCGAACAGAATCCCACCGACCCGATAAAACCCGGGAACACAGTACTGAAGAGAGGAGCACACACGGCTGGGTTAATAACCTGCAACAGCTGCATGTTTGGTTCAATTATCTGCACATAATCATGTGACCTGGAAGTGGTTTCTCACCTCACAGGAAGTGCCAGAATAACCCCAGGGACACTCGCACTGCTCCACATCCAGAGGGACTTTAGAGAGACCCGAGTTTGTGTCTCCAACACCTAAAGACACCGAACTCAACCTGTGGACAAAACACATGTTTAGAAAGACTCCAGTAACAAATGATTCAACAAAATTTGAAAATATTAATCAGTTAATATCAAACCAACGTTAGAACATCATGAATGAGAATATACATACAGTATGTGTGTGTATATATATATATATACACACACATACACACACACACAATTAAAATACATATAAACATTTAAAATAAAAAAAATAATGTAAAATACAGTTTGATATTTTATGGCTAGTACCGAATGATTAATTATGATAAAAACCTTAAAAAAAACATAATAAATAATATAAAACATATCATAAATACACCTAAAGCTAAATTATAACACTTAAATAACTATATATTTAATAATATAAATAATATAACAAATATTATTAATAATTACATATATTATTAATATATTTAATAATAACAAATAATATATAAATAATAAATAAATAACCTAATATAAGTATAAATATATTACTTAATAATATAAATAATATAACAAACATTATTATTTATTACATAAATTATTAATATATTTAATAATACAAATAATATATAAATAACAAATAACATAAAATAACTATATATAATATTAAATAATATAAATAACAAATATTATTAATAATTACATATACTATTATTTTATTGAAT